GCTGGGTAAACGGACCTTGAGCAACACTAAAAATCTCCGTCAGGATCAGTAAGGACCTCTCCGAGCCGTTTGTTACCAAGCGAGGTTTCAGGAAAGTCGACTCCTTATCGTGTGACTTTAATTTTATGCTGAAGAAAATAATACGAGCTGCAGACCTGAATAGAGAAGATACAATCATCTATAACAGTGTACAGCTGCTGGCGTGCGCAGATGATATTAACTTTATTGGCCCCAACAACCGCGCCGTCAGTTCTGCTTTCCCCAGACAAAGTCCGTAAGGCCTCATCGTTTAAAAAACTGTTTGACAGCACTGCAAAGATGTTTTCCCAGCCACCAATTCTTTTGGCCTTAATTCAACTGATTGTCTTGTCTCAAAAAACTAATGATAGTAATTACAAAAATCATATTTTTAAAAAGTGAACAATTTTGTCAAAAACTAAAATTATTAAAAACGAATGGACATAATGCAATTACGAATATTGATTTCTGATAATAATAAAAATTTTGAAGACAATTCGTCATATCTGGGCATTTCACAAACAAACACATGGAGTTTTGAGTAAACACGCCGTTATAAAGGTAAATCATAGGAATCTAGCTAGTTGATGTGACGGTATTAAAGAACACATAGAATGCTGTACACTAACTAAGCAAACTGCGACTACGGCGTCAACGTCGACATCGGTGTTGACGGCAAAACCATGGTTATAATTCACCGGCGAGATGACATTGCGGTTTTCATCTGTCATTGCGGCATACAACAACCAAGCAAACAACCGCAACCAAACTCTCCAATGCGCACCGAAAACTTTGGCATAGCAGTTAGTATGTACATATGAATGTGCCGTTATGTATTGCATTATAACACCATAAATTGGTTAGTAGAAGCGTTGTGTAGCATATTTTTCGTCGCCTCAAAAGGAAATTGCTACTTAAATTAGTGAATTGTTTGTAATACGTATATTGTTTTTGAGCTATTAAGCACAATGAGGAATAAGCAACACAGCGTTACACATACGTGTATATATGTACATGTACAATAAAATTACTAATACATAGATAAAGATAAATTTTGCAAAATGCTATGTATGCTGGTATAAGTTAGTTAAATTTGGTTTTAGTCTCATACCGTAAGCAGGTATGTATGTAGCCAGGTTTTTGTCCTCACACCATGAAATCTGCATATGTTCCCTGTAATGAGGTTTGGAATTGTGGTTAACATTGTTGACATTTGCAATGTGGCTACTGGACTTAGTTTGTATGAGTTAATATCTATTTATGTACATACATACATATGAATATCGGGTGTATATGATGTTTCATACAATATGGGAAATTTGCCTATTTGAAACAATGAAACTGCTAAACTAACAAAATATTTTTAACAGAAAAGTTCTGATTAAAATTTTAAACTACAGCATACTTATTTACATGTTATTTTTAATTAAAATGTATTCAAAAAACTATGTATTCAAAAAACTACATATTCTCGCCTACTAAATACAGTTGTAAAGGGGTGTATTATATGTAAACAGTTTTTTTTTAATGTGCATGTTAAAAGATGGTAGTCATTTCATGGCAATATGCAGTTAATTTAGAAGGCATCATTTTATTTTTGGTTCAGAAATGGTTTTATTTAATACTTTTTAATTACTCGTAATATATAAATATATTATATTTAAAATACCTAAAATTATCTTTTGATTGGATAGTGAAAGTTAAAATGATCCATGCGAGGTTCCCTACTAAAAATCCACCGAAAATTTAAACTTAATAGAGAAGTTTACTATAATGCGAAAGAACATTTTTAGCATATATTTTTTTAATACTCTCTCTATCAAATATTGGCCGCGGCTACGGCTCAGATGGTATATCCGTTGAGTCCCATTTTCGGTGACCAATTCGAGCACTTCGACTAGTAGCTGGCAAATGGCACACGTAATATTTTGCTCCAAGACCTGAATCGAAGCTGGAATATCTGCATAGACTCTAAGCTTTACACATCCATACAGAAACGGTGTGGCAACGATAATATTTCACACGATCTTGGTGGCCAATCGACGGGCCCAAAACGTGAAATTATGTACTCAGGGAAGTGTTATCTCAATAAGTCCATTAAATGATGCGATGTATGGGAAGTGGCGCCGTCTTGTTGAAACAAAATGTGTTGATATCACGAGCTTCAATATCAGACATTAAATAGTCGTTCATCATGGCAATAGAAAGGAGACCGATGATTCACCCTACCCACAAACTACACTAAACGGTTGTTCTTCCAGGGTAAAATGGCAGCTGCTTAATCTCTTCAGATTGTTTTTAGTTACATATGCTGCAATTTTGCTTGTTTATATACCCTTTGTGCCAGAAATTTGCCTCATCGCTGAACAAAACTTAGCTAAAAATCAACGAAATTTCTTAGAGCTTTTCAAGAGCGAAGCGATTTTCCTAAATGCTTGCTAGATGTAGTCTACTCGGTTGAATATTATCCAATAAAGAATGGTGGGTCTCAATGTGGTATTGCGAAAATAAGCTCAGTAGGACGATTATGTTGGCCATAAGTTGAACGAAGCGTGCGAAAAACGTTGTTTAGAGAACCTGAATTTACCTCATAAAATTGAATGATTAGTAAATGTTCACTCACGAGTGTTATGTCCGAGAAAGACAATTGAAAAAGTGCCACTACTTGGATCGCCTGTTTTTGCTTATTAACGTAGCCATCGAGGTGGCCCATGAACCAAGTTGATTTTTCTTTGAAGTTCCGAATAATTTTCATGCATTTCAAGAACCCAATCAGCAAAGATACGAAATTGTTAATGGTGGTAAGCTTTATATATTCTTCACATCCCTAACTTGTCCCAACAGCTCCATTTTTTCCGCCAACTTTTGCACCGTGATCCAACAAGATGCTTCACGTTGACCAAAAAATGTTAAGTTTTACGAGCCGTGTCTGTCAGGGTATAACCATTTTATAGTGAATTTTAATAATTTAATGCATTTTTAAAGCGTGTATCGTTCCATTTTTATCACTGACGCAGTTATTAATTGTCAAATTTCAAAAAATTACAGCTTCAATAGTGACATCTACCAGAATAGCAGGCTATTCAAAATAACGCCCCTCATTGGAAAACCTTTTATTTCTTTTATATGATATTTATCAATTCTACGAGTATACATATGGTGTAAAACTTTGCTTCCGCCGTTTTTTTCCAAAATTAAAAGCTTTATTGCGATAAAGTGCTTACAGATATATTATTCAAGGTATTGTCCTTTCGCTAGCGACACGTTTCCGCAATTTTCGGATCCCGGCTCGAAAAAAGGAGTCCTCTTTTGACGCTATCCATGTAGCTATCTATTTTTCCAATTCTTCGAAGGATTGAAAATGTTGATCTGCCAGGCCGTGTGCCATCGAACGGAATAGGTGGAAGTCATAAGGGGCGACATCTGGGGAACACGGCGAGTGGTTGTAAGACTTCCCATTTCAGCGTTTCCAGGTACTTTTTGACCACTTTTGCGACGTGAGGCCCAGCATTGTCGTGTTGGAGGATGACTTTGTCATGTCGCTCTTGATATTGTGGCCGCTTTTCTTTTAGCGCGCGACTAAGGCGCATCAGTTGCATTCGGTAGCGATCTCCTGTGATGGTTTCTCCCGGTTTTAAGAGCTCGTAGTAAATCACACCGAGCTGATCCCACCAAATGCAAATCATAACCATGTTTGCCTTCGACATCGAAATCATCATTTTTAAAACGTTGAAACCACTCCCGACACGTTGTTTCACTCAGAGCAGCATCACCGTAAGTTTCTGGGACCATTCGATGCGCATCAGATGCATTTTTTTTCGAATTGTAACAGAAAAGTAAAACTTCCCGCAAATGGCGAGAATTAGGCACATAATCGGACATTTTCGAGCGTGTATTTCAACCAGCCTCAGCCGGTACAGCCACCTATCCGAAAACGGCAGAAGCAAAGTTGTACACCTGATATGTTAAATATTTCTCCTTTGATATCAATACCTATTCAAAGTTAAATAAGTTTAAACTCTTCAAATATTCAATTTATTTTTTGGAAAAAGTCTACAGTTACTACTTTAAATTTCACATATATACGTAAGATGATGTGTACTCATATGTAATAAATCTAAAAAACGTGTGTGTGTGTTCTTGTGTACAATATCACTCTAACCACATTCAACAAACAATTCGAATTGAATTTTCCTCAACAAAAGTTGCTATAAAGAGAGAGATAAAATGGAAATAGGAAATCTCAAACAAAACCACAAAAGTAAAATATCTGATAAAAAATTGCATAAATAAAATAAAATTCAATAAATGTTGAGGAAGAAGGCATTAAAAATAGTAAGGCACTGAATTCATATTTTTTATGCACACATATACGTATATGTGTGTATAATAGAGAGCCTGTTCCACTTAATAAGTCAGCCATACAAAATATTATAAAATGTTGTTTGCCCACAAATAATATCTTCATTTTTACCTCTTACCTTTTTATACTTACAAACATGCATGTAATACATATGTGTTTCTTTATTTTCCTCACATTTTTCATTCAACTTTCACACAATAGCGTCACACATGACAGCTGCTGAAAGATTTTGTAATATTTTTAGTTATTTGCAGTATTTTAAGTAAGGTATGTGGGAGTTTCACAGAAATATAAATGCATTTGTATTAATGGTAACTTGATTACGCCTAAGGGTAGGCTATAAATAGATTTGACACTTTGGAGCAACATATGAAGTTTATGAATTTTAGAAAAATAATAGGGATACATTTCGTGATAAATGAGGAAAAGTCAAAACTGAAATTTTTTCCAAGGAAGTTTTCACACATCTTCTTGTAAAAATGTTAATTTGATAATTATATTTTTAAACAATTCTCACGAAACTCTTTCCACACCATACAAATTATTCAAAAGCAAAAATAGCATAATTTTTTCCAGTAAAATATCATCATAATTGTCAACTTCTTCTCATTCATTTCAGGTTCCACTGCATCATATTAAAACTTATCAAATTGAACGATATGAAGAGAATAATTTGGAGTCAGTGGTGAGCGCATTGCACTTCATGGTGACCACACAGCATTTCATTAAAGGGCAAATGAGGGTAATTTACTGCAATATACATATATATAATAAATATTAATTTATCAACATATGCACACATATTAAATAATTTTGTTGGTATTTACATACATATGTATTTTGCTTCAATAGCTTAAGTGTACGGCGAGCATATTTGATATATTCAAAGAGGAAATCGAAAGTGTCATTGAAGAGGATCGACCACGCATTATGGCCTCTGGCCGTTCATATGATATGCACAATAATTATCCTTATGAACAGCATGCAAGTGGCGATGGCTTTGAAGATCACAATGAATCCTTTTTAACTTATTCAGGTGAGTTCGTGTAGTTTAATATTAATAGCATGTTGACAGCAGCAGAAAATACGAGGATACTATAATGATGATTCAATAATTTATAGGTAGTTTCACTTGGAAATTTTTGAAGCTACACATGTCTGGGGACAGAAACATGAACACATTTCAAGTGTTGTTCTTGGGCATTTTTTATCCCAATATTTTCATACACATGTTGACAACGTACTAAGTTTGTGAGCAATTAGAGCCAATTCAAGAGTTCAGGATTATGAATTTCTCTTTTTAATATTTATTTTTCTCCATGATAAAAACCATAGTCCTGAACTACTGATATTTCAACCCTTACACCTCAAAATTGGAGGGGTGTGTTCTGCGTTTGACGTAGGTAACCAATAAGAAATAATCTACCGGGAAGTAGAGCTGGTACAGAAAATTAAGTTTATTTTTGAAATCGTTAAATCGTACACGAAATTTGGTTTAAACGTAGCTCTTTGCCTAGTTATACATGGGGAACACTTATCATTGCAGAAACTGAATTTCAAATGGTTCAAGGTGCTTAATATTTGGAACTTAGATTGCACTTTTTATCAGGTCAATATGTAGAAATTATTGTTTCCGAGAAATGGATCAGTGGTCGAGCTGTTAGAAATATAAGGAGATTGGTTCGAATAAACCCCAAAAAAATCTTACTCTAATCCCCATTGAGCTCCACGCAGACGAAGTCGCGGACTAACTCTTCAATAATACTATATAAAAGGCAGAAATTATTATTATTTATGGAGGTATTTTTTTATGGAGTTTATTTCACTTTGAAATGTCTTTTTTATGACTTTGCATATTTTTAGAAGCAAAAAGAAAATTTTTTTTGGTAGCACGAAACATATTTAATGTCATAAAGCTAAGTAGTCGACTAAGAAGGGAGAATGAACTACCTTTTAATTATTGTATTAAGGCCTTGATTATATTAATTGAGTTTTTTGAGTTTTGAACTAGAGTAGTGAAATACATTATTTGTTTTTTATTTATGCAAAAAATCCAAGCGGGTCATGGATGAGCCTTCTAAACAGCATATAAGGTTTTCGCTTCCCCTACTTCCAGTAGTGAGAACTGCAACAAATACTCTCCAAGCTGGCGTATTTTTCCCATACTGGGAACAAGACCTAGCTTAAGGTCTATCTTTTTTCTCAGCTCAGTGGGCTTCCTCATACTTCATTGGTAGAAAACAAAAAGTAATTTTTCAACATTATACATCAAATTATGTCTTCTTTGACATTGAGGGTCTTTCAACAACATTCTTCCTGAATTCGTAATTGTGGTTCTTCAAGAAATGGGTCTTTAAAAGCTCATAGTGAACTTTGTAGAGTCTCTCACTTCGCAGTGAAAGCAGCGCTAGCATCACCCGACACACAACCACTGAAGGCACAGTTTCATTGCCACTATTGTGGTGTTTAACAGCAAACACGCTGAAGAGAAAACTGTACAGCAAGAGCTATGATATGGTAGCTGTCTGGTTGTCTACTCAGATAAAACCGAAATGGTTATATTTATCAGGAGGTACAAACTGCCTCCTCTTAAGCCACTTTAGCTAAATGCGTGGAGATAAACATCTCCACCGAAGACAAATATCTCGAGAAAACTTTAGAGACCAAACTCACCTGGAGCCGAAACACGGCAGAAAGGTCAAAGAAAGCTATAATTGCACTTTATGCTTGCGAGACGACGTTAAACAAAAGATGGGGTCTAAGACCGTGTGTCGTTTACGAGTGGTGAACATTTCTTACTGACACTCGGAAGGCTAATTAATAGATTTACATGAAAACTCGCCCCTCGGCAGGGAATGTCCACGCGTGCGTATTTCAGACATTCCATTTGTCGGATAAACATCAAGACGCAAAACCATGAATTCAAGAAGGAGCTCGGCCGAAAATTGCTTAAGCGGTTACAAAACGCCAATTTTGTATGGATTATATAAAGTTATTTAGTTATATTTTATTATATATATATAGTTAGACGGGCGTCAACGTTTGGTGGGCGGCACAAAATTACTTTCAGGAGCAAATTAGAGTCAGTTCAAAGGTCGGCTGCTATTCTGGTAGCGGGAGCACTGCCATCAACTCCCTCGAAATTTTTTGCTAACTCTTCTCAACTATCTTACTTTGGACCTATCCGGGACAAAATTGGGTTGTAACGCAATTAGATTGAATGCAACTTAGCTTTACACATTGCAGTATAGGCCACACAAAATATTATCAATTACAGAAGTACCTAATGAGCTGGACTACACCAAGTTTGTGCTTCTACAATCTTTTCTCCACAATAAACCCAAGCGGAAATAAGTAGAAAACCACCGACTCTCTCGATCAGTGAGCTATAGCCATTTTTGCAGACGGTTCGATGGAAAAGTGACCTATATAATTTATTCTCCGATGCTCTCATTACATACCAGAATGAGATAACCAAGTGGCTGCTCAACCTAACAATAGCATGGCAATCATTTACAATATACTCCGACAATCAAGCTACCATCCTATCTCTACAAATGTAATAACACCGCGTCAAAAATGGTCATGAATATATAAACAGTCTCAACTCTTACAATAGCATGGCAGATAAACTAAGGTGGGAATGAAGCCTTCTCCCCAACAGGCACCTCGGCTCCTTACTATACATTGAATATATCATTATCTATCAAATCTTATCCCAAACTCTCTATATATTTATAATTTTGACATCGAATTCCAATAAAATAAAAAATTGTTTAAGTTATGCTCATTATTTAAATAGCTTATCAAGACGAGCACATAACTATGTTTGCTATCGCAACGTCAATTATAGTAAAAGTTTATTTTGAATAAATATTTTAAGGCCTTTTATAATGCCACCACCTGTAGAGCATACTAAAATTATATGCGTTGAATTTTTTCATTATTCACATGAGAAATAAAGAGATTTTTCGGCCGCGCTCCTCCTCCAAATTTGCGGTACACATCTTGATGTTTTCTCTAACAAATTTTTGAACCTATAATTTTTATGAGTGGCTTTTATTTGATATCAGAAATACTCTCTGAGTGACACACCTACCGAGCGAAGACCGTAGACAAAAACTGTGTTTAATCAACGTTCTCAAATTTTCAATATTAGCCTGGTCATGCTTCGAACCCATGATTTTCCACATGGCAGAATACTAATTTGGCCAAACATATCACTAGGGAAAATGCAATAAATTAGTTTTCCACTCTGCATGGAGTGGTCTTACGTTTATAGTGTACTGCCTTAAAAACGTTTACTCAATCTTATACATTTTTCAGTCTTAGCATTTTTCTAATCAAAATTTTTGATGAATTATCGCGTATGTGTGCATGTGCGAAGATCAACACAGCAATATTACCATACATATACAAAGCTGTTTATTTAATGCAAATTGCAACAAACTTCAAATTTCTCGCTTCGTTTAATAGGCAAATCGACTCTCTTTACTTACCACCCGTTCGAACGCATATTTAATCGAAAGTAAATCAACTTGAACTGCAAACAAGTTTTTATGTTATGTTAAATATATATATATATATATATATATATAAATGTGCATATATGTATGTGCTTAGCTTCATCTATAGCGCCGCACGAAAACTCTTAACGCGACAAACGACTATGTACATATGTATATTTTGCTCTGGCATTTCCATTTCTAACCCGCTCGTTACACTTGATAGCACACACATTGATACAAGTTTGCCTGATTCAGCCCCATCATACTTACACACGTACACATTTGTTACGAAATGTAAACAAAAATTCAACAACCATATCTGTATTTGGGCGACAAGCACACACTTGATTTTCTGTTATATAAAGTGGTATGCGCCCAAAACTATGCAATATATCGAACGACAACGTTGTTACTCAATATTTGTGAAAATATGATAAGGAAGTAGCGTATGTCTGTATGCACTACTAAGTGTATAGCAACGCTCTGCGAGTGCATGCATATCCTTAGGCGTAAATAAAAAAAAAAAAGTATGAAAACTCACTAAAGTGTTGCCACTTACTTGAGGCAACATTGACATACACAAATTCAAGCAAACACGCTTAAAAGCAAATGCAAAGAAATTCCACAGCAAAAGGGGCTTCAAAGGAGGCCATAGCATGCCGGTAGATTTATACATGTATATAAACAGATTTACATATTTACGTATATGTAATCAAATATTTTAGTTTAAATTGCGTTAACGCTGATGATAGCAAACGGCTTGCTTAGGTGCGAAATTCCGCGCCCCACACTTCTTTTGATTTCACATATTCAGTTTATTTTTGCAAAGGCTTGTAACTCCCGCTCGCAATAACTGCTTTAGCTTCACTTGTCTACTTGTGATCAACATAATATACCGTTAAATAGCTTTAAAATATGCAGTGATATTTATAACACACAGACATGCACACATTAGCATAGCATGTCTAACCAACAAACGTTCATTCATCGTCAGCCGTTGCCAACGCTGGTGACAAGCAAGTGAGCCAATCAGTCGCAAACAACGCTAATGCTAACGACTCGCTTCGCAAATGGTTTCGCCACAAGCCGCGTGGGCATAAAAAAGACTGGTGTTGCAACAAGAAATGAAAATACATACATTTTCACGATTTCTTTTCTGCTTGGCAAATATCTATTTTCCTACTTACACTTATAAGTATATGCGAACATATGTAAATGTATAAGCATTTACAGCAGATGCTTGGAAATCTGCTCCTTCTCGCAGATTGGCGCTTACACTTCATAATACATGCAAATGCAATGTTAACTTACACCAAAGTGTCAACAAAGTGCAAATTAACTACCATTCCCTACTTTATTTACTCTCGCTTATACCACCAAACACCCACAGCTCTATGATTGCGTACACTTCAGTCAATGGTATTTTTACATCTCAAATCTATTGGCTCTTCTGATGAAATGTGAAATGTGTCTAATAAATAAAGCTGCGCATATTGACATCGACGAAATTTGTTTTAGTAAAAGCGTA